CAACAGCCCAGCATGAGTCCACACCCAAGAGCCACTACCAAAAAACGTTAATCCATTCAAGAGCTTGGAACCCTCACGGCCTAGTTTCTTTACATTAAGCCCATTTCTTAAACGGTCCACTGCTCTCCTGGTACAATACTGGGGACCAGTCTTTCAGCACACAAACCTTTGGAGACAAGTCACAGCTGAAACAGTAGACATAGTACACATTTTCTTTAAGCAATCAAAAGCTCTCTTCTGTGGCTGGAGTTGGAGCTGCCCCAGCCCTGCTCAGAGCATTATCTAAAATGAAGCTAGACCAACAGGTGCCCTGAAAACCAGAAAGTAAGTCAGACTGAATCCTGGCATAGAGTAAAGAAGACAGACAGCAGGCCAAGGTCCTGTGTTTCTGAAACGTGGGGACAGGAGATCTGAGAAGAAAATTTTGCCAACAAGAAAGATGTAAGTTTGAGAGAAAGAGAGCGATAGGAAGACAGCGTTCCAAGTGCAGCAGTTCAGGAAACCCACTACCTTTCCATACTCATAAGATGCCTAGTTTTCTAACTGAATTGATTTGCACTCTATCTGTGGTGGATAGCCAGAAGAATTCTGCTATACTGCAGGACACAGTGCTCACATCACTGTGACTCGGTGCACTCAAGTTTGCTTCACATAAATGAATTATCTCTCCCCATTATACATCAATAAGAAAAAACTAAGATGCCCACATAAATTCTTACATTAAAAATGTAGTGAATGTTAATAAACTTTAGGTGAAAACGGCATCCCAACCTATGCAATGACATCTTTTACACATGTCCAGATTAGAACTAACATTTATACAATGCTTCTTGGTCACAAAACATAGCACTGGTCTGTGGAAATGGGGTGCAAGCCACCAATGAGCACTACTGTGTGTTGTTTAGTCTTCTGTCAACTTGACACAAGCCAGGATCGTCTGAGAAGAAGGAATCTCAGATGAGAAAATGCCTCTGTCATATTGGTCTATAGGCAAGTCTGTGGGGTGGTTTTTTGTTGTTGTTGTTTTTGTCTTGTTTTGTTTTTTGCTTAATGGTTGATATGAGAAGGCTCAGGCCACTATGGGCAATGTCACCCCTAGGCAGATAGTCCTGGGGTGTTTAAGAAAGCAGGCTGAACAATCTAGGTGGATCAAGCCATCAGGCAGCACTCCTCCGTGGCATCTGCTTCAGTTCCTGCCTCTAGGTTCTGCCATGAGCTCCCGCCCTGGCTTCCCTCAGTGATGGAGTGTGATCTGGGAGTTATAAGATGAAGTAAACCCTTCCCTCTCTATGCTGTTTTTGGTCAGTGTTTATCACAGCAACAGAAACTAACATAGGAAAAAAAAAGCCATAACGTTCAAATGTCTCGAGGCCACATTAAAACTAAAGGGAAACAAAAGGATTCAGTTTTGTAGTGCCTCTTGTTTATCCCATAGACACAAAGTATTGTCACTTCAGTGTGGAGCCAGGAAGATTTTCTTCCTACTACATACTTGACAGGCTCTACATTTTATATTTATAGTGTGTCTCATTTTGCACTAGCCTTTCAGAGTGAGCAGCCACTGTGTGGTCCAGCAAGCACAAATATAAAATGTTTCCATTGCCCTAGCAACCTGAGAAGACAAGCTTTTTGTAGTTGTAGAGAAAAAAAGAAGCTAAAACTCAAAGACATAAACATTTTCTCCAACAACAGCTAATGAGTGCACAGCCTAGACTCCAACCTCGGCCTCTGGCCTCCGCTTCTGAAGCTCTGCACCTCACTCTGCAGTCTGCGGAGGAAGACGTTTTCAACATGATTCTGAAATACAGTCACATCAAAGGAAGGCATGCACCAAGACCTCACCCATACAATGACATGACATAGATATGTCAGCTCTATTTTTTTTCTCAAATCACAGAGAGCCTTTAATGAAAATAATCTCCAAGTCCACACTTCTCTGTGAGTGCCGATTTCTGAGTGGGGTTAATTACTGTCAGTAACAGGTGCCTTCCCTCCATCACCTATTCTCTAGCCTGCAAGGCACCCTGTATGTTCAAAAAAACCAAATGTATGTGTGCATGCATATGTACAGTATACATACACCCACATACCCACACAAATACACAGCGTTTCCATGGCTCTTACTAGCCCCAAAGTAGCTAGAACAGTAAGTTAAAGTGTTTGGTCTTTAGTTTCTGAAGCAGGATGCTGGGGCAGCTTACGCTTCAGAGAGAACCTCTCTGATCTTCTGTTCTCCTCTTCTCTGCTCCCTTTTCTCCTGAAGGCACACTGTAGTAACTAAGATCGCTCTTCCCCGAGTCAGATTACTAAAACCAAAAGCATAGTATAACCTTCTCCTGCTTTTCCTGTCTTCCATCTTACCAGGAAGACAGGTTTGGTCTACCTTATCCAATAGTAGATCCGAAGGCTTCATTCCACACAAATCCCTGCCCCATACCAGAAAGGAAGGCACACTGGACAACAGGGCCATGAAGAATCTGAACAGACAGGGTGTGCTGGATGTCCCTGTCTCTGAGCGTTAGATGAGACCCTTCTGTCGAGTCACATGGCACACAGTAGCCCATGCTTCAGTCATATCTCTGCACTGAAGTCTCCATAAAATCCCAGGGGGAGAGTTTGGAGAGCTTCTGGGTAGCTGAAACTTGCGGAGACTGAGAAAGGTGAGGGGGAACTGATCCACATCCCGGAGCAGCCAAGCCCCTGCCAGAGAGTACTTCCATGTGTGTCTCCATGCAGATCCTTCTTTGTGCCCTTACAGTAAACCAACAAATGTGTTCCCCTGGGTTCTGTGAGTCACCCTAGCAAATGAACAAACGGGGGAGCTGTAGGGAGCTGCCTGTAGTCAGGGGTCAGAAGCCTGAAGCCTGGACTCCAGACTGATGCCTAAAAAGTTCTGTGCAACTGAGCCCTTAGCATTTGAGAACCGATGCTGCCCACAAGCAGGCAAGGGCAGAATGGAATTCTGCTCTGGAACTGATTGCCTGCTAACTGATGGCAAGACATAACCATGCACTTTGAGAGCTCGGAAGTGATGCATGACAGAGGGAAAGCACACAGTGCAGTCACAGAAATGGGGTTTGCCTTGCCTCAGTCATGGGACCTCTCAAAGTGCTCAGGTTAAAGCCCTAACCTCCTAATATGTATATATTAAAGATGGGGACCTACAGGACGTCCTTGGGTTAAAATGAGGTCATGTAGGATGAATACTCAGCCCAAGCAAGACATTTATACTGTCCCATCTAAGGCTTAAGGGAAAATGCAGTGGGGGTGGGAGGTGTAAGAGCCAGAAGATAGGGAGAGGAGCTTCAAATCAACCACTGCAGGCATGCACTCAGAGCAGCTGCAGTTGCTTGCATTGAGCCAGCAGAATCACCCTGTTAGCCATCAGGCAGGGATGCAGGAGGACTCAGGGGCCTCTACCACCCGCTACTGTACTGCTTGCTACTAGTAAGGTTCAGGAGGAGCAGGAACCATTTCCTTCAATTTTGTGCCCACTGATACCCCCACCAAGTTCCAGTGGATAGTGTCCATCCAATGGTCAAAGAGATGATCTCTAAGCAGATGCCAAGACAATACCAAAAGTCAAAAATCCAGGAAGGGGACTGCAAGGGAGGAGGCGGAGTGGATGGAAATGGGAAGGAGATAAGAGAGGATGTGGAGAGAGAATAATCAGGATACATTCTAAATGTGTATGAAATTATAATTAAAAATCAGTCCATCTTTAAAGTACTATTTTATAATGGCGAGGTCATGAGGGCAGGAGCCTTGTAAAAGGGTTAGAAACTGTAAAAGAGCAGAGAGATTAGAACTTTGCATGTGAGGACAGAGAGAGAAGGTAGCTTCCTTCAAGCCACAAGAGGGTCCATAGCAGGTACTAAGTCAGTCAGCGTCTTGACCTTGGCCTGCAGAAGCTTAAAACTACGAGAAATAGACACCATTGTTTGTGCCGCCCAGTCTAGGATACTTTGTTTCAGCAGCTTGAGCTAAGACATTGCAAGTGTACTGGACTGTCTCTGTGTCTGAACCCCAGAGCTCCATGGACTTCCATCGGTTTCCTTGGCTCCTCTTCTCCTCCAGAAGCATAAGCCCAGGCTAGCCAGCTGTGAGGTGGCAGCCCCTTGGAGAAGTTGATCCCCCCCCCCCCCCCGCATCTCAGCTGACGCCCCAGGCATGAGAACAGTGAGTGTGGCCCAACTCAACACCACCGAGCGGATGCACCTAATTCCTGCCAGTAGAAGTGTGAACTACGTCTATGCTGTCTCGAGTCACCCCATTCAGATGGTTCCTTATACAGCAAAACCTGAGTGACAGACACATGAACATGCTTCAGGATCGAGGCAATAAAAAGTGTAATACTTAGGGTCAGAATGTGGGCTGAATGCTGCCTCCCTATGACTCGGTAAGGATGGGTGGCGCGCACTTTTAATCCCGCACTCAGATGGCAGAGGGGGCAGGATCTGTGTGAGTCCAGTATCTGTGCGTGCCTAGACTACAGAGTGAGTTGCAGGCCAGCCAAGACTACATAGTGAGATCCCGTCTCAAAGAGAGAAAGAAAAGATACATTCTGTTTCATAGAAAGTAAAGACGAACTTGAGGATAAAAAGATTGCTGGAAAATGGAGAGAAAGAGAAGGGAAGTGGCTGGAAAAGGAGAGGAGGGGAGTGGGGGAACAATAGAGATCTGAGTTCAAATCCTAACTGCACAACCCAGTAGCTGTTAAATCACCCGAAGCTCAAACTTACACCTTCTCCCAAAAATGCTCTTAAAAATGTTTACATTACCCAGCAGAGCAACCGCCCTGTAGTGGGCACTCAGTGCATCTCAGGTCCCTTCTTCAGCTTTTCTTGTACCTAGCAAGTCCTAAGTGATTACGCTCAGTTTTCTTCATATTATATACAGTACCATCGCCACGCATTATTCTTAATTTGTTCACAGTTCCTTTCCCATACTGGACAGGTCAAGTGACTGAAAATTATCCACTTGATGACGTTATTAAATACCTTGCGAAGACTACGCTGTGGCTCAGTCCAAGCACTAAGGCCTCAGAACAAGGGAAGCAACGGTACCGCTCTCAATGGGAGATCAAGGTCCTGAGGACAGTAGGCTTCTGGCGTTAAGTCCTGAAGTCAAAACTTGGAGTATTGATGCCCAGGAAGGAAGAGTTGTGAACCCCGGATCCAAGAGGCAAAGACCTAAAATCCTCCAGTCATTCAGTATTGTCTGCTTGCCCTTGGCTGAGTGGATGGCACCTGCCTACATTGAGGGCAGAGCTCCCCGTGCTCAGTCAGTGAGTCAAATGCCAGGCTCCTCGGGACACAGACATAACCCCCACAAGAGAGCTTTCTTTACCAGATCTCCGGGCAATCCTCACTCCAGCCAAGCTGACACCATCTCAGAGATGAAAGATCTTTACACTGAAAAGAAATTGGAGAAGACACAAATAAATGGAAATAAATCCTGTGTTTTAAAGCTGTTAAAGTGTCCACCAATCAAAGCAAACCACAAACTGAGTGCAATCTCTATCAAAACACCAGTAACATTAACCACAGAAAGAGGAAAATAATCCAATCCTAAAATTCATGTGAAATCACGAAAGACCTCTAAATAGACAAAGCAATTGTAAGCAAACAGAACAAAGTCAGAGGCGTCATACTATTTAATTTCAAAACACACTACAGAGCTACAGTGACAAAGCACACGAAACTGACAGGAAGACCACCAGGACAGACTAGAGAGCCAGACATAAACCTGTACAGTCAGACCCTCCTGACTGTCAACCAGAGTACCAAGAACACACAGGGAGGAAAGAGGAAGGAAACAAATGACCAGTTAAAAAGAGACATTTCTCAAAAGAAGACATACAAACGACCAACAGATATATGAAAGGTGCTCAAAATCTCTCATCATCAGGGTAGGACAAATCAAATCCACAATGGGCTCACCTCATCCTGAGGATAACGTCTACCAAAACAACCCAAAGGGTACATGTTGACAGGTATGTAAAGAAAGGACACACAAACATACACACACACACACACACACACACACACACACCACCCTGTGGGTGGGAATAAAAGTTAATACAGCTATTGTGGAAAACTTTTAGAAGTTCCTCAATATTAAAATTACAACAACTGCATGATGCAGAAAACCCATGACTTGGTGGTGTACACTCAAAAGAAATGGAATCAATGTCAAATAAATACTGTCACTCCCATATTTACAGAAGTATTGATTACAATAGCTAAGATACTGAATCAAACAATGTGTCCATCATTATAAAACTTGAAGAAGAAAATGCGGTATGCATATGCAACAGAATACGACTTAGCCATGGAAGGAGGAAATCCCACGATTTTGGACAACACAGATGAACCTGGATGATGTTAAGTGAGCCAAACCAGGCGCAGAAAGACAATGCCACATGTCCTCACAATCTGGCATTTATACAGGTGATGCAAACAGAGAGTAAAATGGTAACCACCGTGGACCGGCTGGTGTGGAGTGAGGGGGGTGGAGAAATGTTAGTCAAAGGGGCACAATGATAGGGATAAGCTAAGAAGCCGACCGAACGGCACCATCACAGTAGTCAATGACGGCTTATTATGCTATATGCTTGAAAAATATAGAAACAATACATTTGTGTTCTTGTCACAAAGTAATAACCATGTGAGGCATTCACCTGTTAATTAGCTAGATCTGACGTCCCACAGCACAGACACATGTGTGTAAATGTATATTTTAATATATTACAAATGTATAAATAAATGTAAACATATATCTCAAAATGTCTCATTGTATATTATATATATGTAAAACACATATCTGTAAATTTAAAAAGTAATAAAAGGACATAGAGATGTATCTTAATGGCCATGCATTTGTTTAGCATGTGTGAGTTCCTGGGTTCAGTCACTGGCACCAAACCCACTTTTCATGCATGTGTAGCAAAGTCATTATTCAAGTCTTCCTAAGTGTTTATTTTCAACAGATCAAATTCACTAAAAATTTTAAAAATCAAGTCAGAGACCAGCCTGGTCTACAGCACAAGTTCCAGGATAACCAAGGCTACACTGAGGAACCCTGTCTCGAAAAAAACAAACAAAAAAATTAAAAATCAACATATTCTAAAACAAAGCCTTAAGAAGAAAGTATAAAATAATATCTTCATGACATTGAGGAAAATAGAATTTGCCAAACAGAATTCAGAAAGCAGGAATTAAAGTGCAAAATTAGCAGACAGCATTCAAGACTGTTATGAACCTGAGGCTGCTGGGCAGTAGAGCACACACACACACAGCAGGCACGAGACCTTGGGTCCAATCCCCAGAAACCCTGGCCCAAAGAAACTTGCTTTTGTTCTTCCACAAAAGGCATCATTAAGAAGCTGGATATCATTGTACATTCCTATAATCTAATATTCATGAGGCTGAGGCAGGAGGATCACAAATTTAGCCTAGCCCAGTTGAAAATCTATTTGGAAAAAAATCCTTAAGAGAATAAAAATGTAAGTCAAGCCATACGTATATATGTGTGTATATAATCTACATATCGGGGCTGGTGAGATGGCCTAGCAGGTAAAAATCCCTTAACAGTCGAGTTTAGCAACCTGAGCTCAATCCCTGGACCCCACAGTGGAAGGAGAAAACCAACTCCTCTAAGTCGGGCTCTTACCTCTACACATATGATACAACATACATGGCCCATACATATATATCATGCACATACACTAATAATTAATTAATTTTTTAAATCTGTAAGTCAATAAGAACAAAGAAAGCCTGATAAGAAATTTGGCAGACACAGACCATGGTGGCACATGCCTTTAATCCCAGCATTCCAGAGACAGACAGATCTTTGAGTTCAAGGCCAACCTAGTCTACCCAACCGAGTTCCAGGATAGCCAGGATTGTTACACAGAGAAACCCTATCTTGACGGAAAAACATTGATAAAAGTTATTAAATCAGATCTTTTACAAAAGACTATATCCAAGTGGCCAATACTTTTTTAACAAGGTGCTTAACTTCTGGGTCATATGAAATAATCCTAAAATTTATGTGAAATCACGAAAGACCTCTAAATAGACAAAGCAATTGTAAGCAAACGGAACAAAGTCAGAGGCGTCATACTATTTAATTTCAAAACACACTACAGAACTACAGTGACAAACCACACGAAACTGACAGGAAGACCACCAGGACAGACTAGAGAGCCAGACATAAACCTGTACAGTCAGACCCTCCTGACTGTCAACCAGAGTACCAAGAACACACAGGGAGGAAAGAGGAAGGAAACAAATGACACTGGGTACCGAAAAGCTAAAGTTTTGCCCTCTGTGATGGAGAGTCCTCTTTGCCAACATGACAGCACTGAAAACTGTTTACAAGACCAGAAAAATCACACCTCTGGTGTGTCGGTGAGAATATTTCCAGAAAGGACTGACTAAAGAGGGATGACCTACCCTGAATGGGGGTGGTACCACACCATGGGCTGCATAGAATTAAAAACAAAGGAAAAAAATCCAGATAATGCAGGTGTTACTTATCATCTATCTGTTATCTATCCATCTGTCATTTATTATCATCTACCATCTATCTATCTATCTATCTATCATCTATCTATCTATCATCTATCTATCTATCATCTATCTATCATCTATCTATCTATCATCTATCTATCTATCATCTATCTATCTATCTATCTATCATCTATCTATCTATCATCTATCTATCTATCATCTATCTATCTATCATCTATCTATCTATCTATCTATCTATCTATCTATCTATCTATCATCGCTCTGTCTGTATCTCTATCTCTACTTAATGTGTGCCCCGAGTAGAACAATCTCTGCCATGTGCTGCCGTTGTCATCAGTTACTGCCACATCCCAGGCCCCCAAAATCCATGGAGCCTAAGAATATGGGGTAAAACCTCTCTAGGGCCAGACTTTGAGGATGTATGGGTTTATTCCACTTCCTGCCCACTCTCTCTGCTTCCTGTTTGGCTGTGATCAGATCTCTCAGCTCTGGCTGCCTGTCGCCATGCCTCCCTCACCATTATGGACTCTTCCTCTAGAACTGTAAGGCAAAAAAAAAAAAAAGCTTCTTTAATTTGCTTTTGATGATAAAAGTAACTGATACAGCAATAGAGATTATTTTCGTGAAGTTTCAAATGAGAATAAGGACTCTATTGGGAGTTGGGCTAAAAGCCATTCCTGTTTCCATTTTGGCAAAGAAACTTGATCACATATTACCCAGGACCTGCATCTTGCCAGAAGACTGGGTATAAAGGTGATAGACTAACTGATCTGAGTGAGAAAATTTCAAATAACCCAGAATTTAGTCTGTGGCATGGTTACTGCTGGTTTCTTCTAGCCAAGTGCACAGTGAGACTAGAAAGCAAATTGCAGAGTAGGAAGGACCTGGGAGAATTCACAATTCGGTCATAAATTCCAGAGTGCAAAATCAGAGCTAAGAAAGGTCTGGTTTCTAAAGGAACTAAAGTTGTTTAAAAGAAGTCAGGTCAGTTGCACCAGAGAAAATGTGTCTTTGTATGCTTCCGAGAACTAGCCAGAACTCACTTGTGGCAGACTGGAGAATGTGAAATACTTCCCTCTGAGTACAGAACACCTCTGAGTCACACAGCTCACACAAGCCCACCTAGAAATCGTTTCCTCGGGACTCTACGGCTCTGCAGTCCAGGCACACGAACCTCAAGCTGCAGCACAACTTGGCATCTGCTGTCCGATGCCACATTTGCAGGCAGGCACAATATAAAAATGACAGGGTTATGAGTACTTCCACATAGACTTCAAAGGGAGACCTGGGAGGCCAGGTAACGTGCAGCAGCATCAAGACCACTGTAGGCAGCCCCGGGAGGGGTGGAGGAGGCAATGTGTGAAACTGGGAGCAAAGAAAGGCAAAGGCACAATGGTGAACACAAGAGGTTAGCAATGCCGATGCCAGGAACTTGGAATACCTGCCGAGGAAAAGCTCAGGCAGCAAACAGAGGTAACACAAGAAGTAAACCATGTGGGCACTGGCCCCAAGGTCATAGGGATGGTACTCCCTAAGCCACTGAGAGCTTACATTACCACATGGTGTGCTCAGACACCAAATACCAGAAGGTGCTGCAGGCTTTATGTTGGCCCTGATGCATTTGGGTCTTGCTTTGGCCCCATCCCTTCTTTTTGTACCACCATCTACCCCATTTGGGATGGAATGTGTATCCTGTCCCACTGGATATTCAAAGTATGGGATTTCCTTTTCCAGTTTAGATGGTTCTCGTTACTGAGTTTGTCTTCTGTCATGGGAAATTTGGGATTGGAACTTTGGAACAATGTTACTATGGGAATTCTTGGAGATGGACTGAATGCACTTTGCATTATGAGATAGACATGAACCTTTGGGGG